TCAAACGTATCACGATTATTATACTGTATATTTGCTGTAGTTATTACAAAAAAGGGTGTTTTCTTCAGCATTCTGTTAAACCTTTCAAGAAGATGAGGAAGATATACTTTATTAATCGCAGACGGTAAATTCAGTTTTTCACTCTTTGTGGGACTTTTTCACAAACTCAAACACAGTCATATCAACATGCACTATCGAGAGATGTTAGAGATGTTCACCTGAGCAGTTTGGCAGCTGATGCCTTGCCCAAGGACACATTGTCATTGCTCATGAACCAGCCAAGAGACCAATTTCCTTACTTTGGACTTGAACCGGTTTCCCAACCCAATTCTGTCCCAAGGATTGAGCTACTGCCACCCCCTCATCTGGCATGAAAAATGACTGAGTAATAAAGTGAGTCTCATCAATTAGGGGCCTCGTTTGCTTTGTAAATTATAAAAATGCATCTGTGTTAATATTAGTCTATTTTACAACCTGTTAAATGTTCCTCACTGGAGCTTTTACTTAGATTTGTTTGACAATTTCATGTTAAAACAGCTTTTAAACTGTCATTTTCTCTTTCCCCTCCCAAGGGAATAGAATAGATAGATAAGAATAGAATATTGAATATTACCTTTCACATTGTGAAATTTACTATTTTTCCTAAAAAAAACTAAAAAACAGTTCAACACCCACATGCAGTCAGACACACTCACATACACACCAATAATAGTTGTTTTAAAAAGAAAAAGAATATCCTTCCTCTCCACTCTTGGCAATCATCTAAATGCTAGACAAAACATTTTGGAATCTAAATTGGGATCACTAACCAGAAATGGTTTAGAAATCCTGCTTAACATTTCTCATGAGGAACATGTTTGTAGCTGCTTGAAGAAAAAAATCAGGATATTACTAAATTAAACTAAATCCTGATTTGATTGTTAAAAAACAGAGGGTAAAAAAAACAAACAGTTTGTGCAAATATTTTTCAGGGCAGCAACATTTAGAATTGAGCACTCAGACAGATTGACAGTTTAGACAGCCCAGTCCTGCAGGGGAGTATGGTCTGCAGGGTGTTGAGTCATCCAGGCATCATTAACTAATTGATTAAAAAAAAATCTGAGTCTGAAGGGGAATTTGGGCCACCCTGAGCTGATATGAGTATGTTGTTCTCCCAGGGCTGTGCAGGATAGCTCCTCTGCATGATAAACAGCCCAGGAGATTTGTGATGCACACAACACAATCATTTTTGTTATAAAAGTTAACTCTGCACTGAATGATGCCCTTGAAGAAAACAAAAATAAAGGGAGGGAAAGGCATGTTTGTATGTCCCTTATAGAATCGATCAGAAAGACAATAACTGTGACCGTGAACTGTGTCAACATTTATTTGACAACAGATTGTTAATAAGTTACATGCTATTCAGATGATCTGCCTAAAGAGTAAACAACCATGACTTGTCATGTGTAAGTGTAAAACCAATGTACTCCGCAGTATTGCATCAACACAGTGTATAATATATTAATGGTAAATGGGCCACTCTGCATTAAAGGTGCTTTTACTTTTGGAAATTGTGGTGTTTTGGGATGGCGATGCTTTTAAATTGAGCATAACTTTAAATGCAGGACTTTTACCTGTATATCAAAGTATTTATAACTTTATAGTTGGTACTTTAATTAAGATTAAATATAAGATACATTTTTTACTTGTTAACTTAAATAATACAAGTTTCCAAACAAATTTCTAAGCAATCAAATAACCTAAAAGCAGCTGATGCATTAACACACTCATCCGACTTAAAGTCTGTGCGAAACCAACCATGTGTATGTGACATAAGTGAAATGCATATGAGCTTTATGAAATTTTGCAAAAAGTTTCATGTTGGATTCACATGAGACACAACTGTTTTGTCTTTGCGATAGCAGCTCACCATCTATTGTAGACAAAGGATTTCAGTGGTGAAATATGGAAAAATATTCACAACAAAGTGAAATCATTTCCCCATTTGAATCTCCAGGGCCGCAACTGGAATGAGTTGGACCTGGTAGATGACAGAAAGGTGGAACTGGTGGTGTACGTGGTCCTCCCTGTCCTTTCTGTCCTGCTCCTGGCTCTCCTGGTGGGTCTGATCTACCGCCGGTGTTCCCGCAGCAAACTAAGCCTGGCCAACATCATTGCTCTAGACCTCCACAACACCGAGAGCAGCGCAGAGTTCCTCTCCTCCCTGACCAGGAACGCAGAGCGCCACACCAGCACCAGCTCGGATGGATCGGACGGAGTCTTCGTCATGGTCTATCTGCCTCCGCCTTATGAGGAAACGCTCACCAAGATCACCCGAGCTGCCAGCCTCTCCAGCTCCAAAGACGTGGAGTCAATAAAGATTGAAGACCTGGAGGCCAAGCTGTGTCCAGAGCTTAAGTCCAGCGGCAGATTTGTTTAACCATGTGTCAATGGGAAGTGATAAAGACTTTATATCTCCAATATTTGGTGGTTTTTAATCTTTGCCAGTATTCATAAATCAACTCTGCAGCTCTTCACGTGCTTTTTAACCCCTTTTCTCTCATAATTTTGGTTTTATGGTACATCTACTGTCTGGTTCAGTCTCTCCACTGTCATCAACCTTATTTTTTTAACAATGCATGGAACAGTTTTCACCAAACAGTCTCTGATAGACCCAATGTAATCTACCTACTCAGCACTAAAGAGAGATTCAGATAGATATCCAGCAGCTTATCCGACAGATATTTTTGTGGACCTCAAAGTGTAGCAAACATTTGTGGGGGGAAAAGTGATCATTGGACTAACATGCATTAGATGGACCTGCTGTAAACACACCTTAAATAGGAAGATAATGTTTATCTTTTGTCTGCTGGATGTGTTAAAAGGTAAATGTTTATGTGTTCACTTGTTTTGGAATTCTGCCCTTGTCCAACTAGAAATAAAAGTGATTTTAAATAAATCCTGTGTAGCGTATGGCATTAGTGCCAAATTGGCACACAATTTGGAAACTAACCTGACAAACAAATTCAACATGTTGGAACAAGTGACTGCCCTGTCTATTGAAACCTTGCTGTATCAAAGGTTTAAAGAACGAGGATTTTGCAACCCTGGGTACGAATCAACCGACCAGAAAATGTGTTGCTGTTATTAAGAGCCAGCCACCACCAGCTTCTTCAGAGCCAGCAGCAACAGCAGGGGCTCCTGCATAGCCTCAGGATTTTAATCTCTGGGCCTTGCTGGACACACATGTTGAGGCACAGACACGTCACCAGTGCCACTTCAAGTGCCACCGTGGTAATTCAGAGGTAATATGCTGTGCAGATTGACTATGTTGGGTTAAAAGTAATATGATTTTGAAAATAATTTGTTCAATGATGACTAAATTATCTTTTTTTGTATTATCAGGTATTTGAAGGAACCACACCTGGAAAGGCCTGAGGACCAGTACTGGGTCACAAGGAAAGGCTTGTATCCCGTCCTGTTTAAGATGGCCTCAAGATACCTCTGCCTACCAATTCAATTCATTTCAATTCAATTCAAAAAAACGTTATTTGTCCCCGGGGGGGCAATTCAAAAAGCATTATCCGTGCCATGTGAGAGGATTTTCTCCAAGGCTGGCGAAATAGTCAGCCAAAAAAGGAGCCGACTGAAGCCTGAAACTGTTGAGAAACTTCTGATTTTAAATAAAAATAAATCAAAAGTAGCATTCCAAATCACTGCCACTATCAAAATGCTAATAGTCATAATAAGCCATTCCTTTCCATGTCACAATTGTTCCCAAATGGCTGATGAATCAAACTCCCACTTCTATGAAATATTTACCCACAAATAAAAGGCATAAAAAAATTACGTGTTGACATGAAACCTAAAAAGAAAAATTATAGAAGCGATATTTGAAATAATATACAGCATATAGCTCAGTGGGTTGAGTATATACCCTTGAGCTTTTTGTGTAACACTTTATCATATTATATTGCAGTGCAAAATACAATTGAAGTGACACTAATTGGTTATTTATAAATAAAACCTTAAAATCAACAAGCAGCTCTAGATGACTTTTATTGCTGATATTTCAGATTTACACAGTGAGGCATTGTGCCAGTGCTTTGGTCCCACATTTAAATGGCTGCTTTAATTTCAGTCTGCCACAAGATGTCACTGTTCATCCTGATTGTAAAGTTGCTGAATAATATTCCACACAGCAGATTTTCAGGTTCTTTAGTTATCTTTCAGGTAGCATCACATTAACCTGTAACGGCTCTCATAGCATCATTATTCTTCTTCGTTTTTCCAACACATCTTTCAACATGAACCCAGAGTGGGCCAAACAGAACATTACCAAACTACAACATCACATGCATAAAACATAAACATTACACTGATGAGACCCTGAAGCTTTAAACATTTTTTGAACCAAATGGAAAGAAAGCCCCAGAGGGTCATGAGGTTTCATCCGCCCATCTCTGCTGAGCTCTGAACAATGCCAGTCTGGGCTCTTGCAGCTCTGTACACTATTTTACTGTCATCAAACTCTCCAACACTGTGCAATCCCAACTTCAACATCCAACCTCTAATGACCTGCAAAGCTCTCAAGCCTCCTGTTTATATAGGAGTTGGCACCTATACCAAAAGGGTTTGGAAATCAATTTACCCTCAGGAGAGTATTACCTGTTCTACAAACAACACATCATATCTGCAATAAGGCTAAAAGCATATCAAAATACATTTCAGTTGAGTAAATACTTAAACAGCCATTTAAATAACATGTTTCATCCTAAACAACCTAAACACCCCTCCACCTTTACCATACATGGCACACCCCCATATAAGCCACGGGCAGGTTTATCCCTGTTTGACAGTTCCAGGTTGAGAAAGAAGGCAAGCAAGGCTGTGGAGCAAAAGGTGACAAATATACTGTATATATGTGTAACAATTAATAAAAATGTTATGATATTTTAAGCAATATCACAAGTAGACCTATAGTTATAGAAGTAAGAACACAACAACAGGTGAAACATGCTTCAGTTTATTGATGTCATGGATCAACAGTAGGCTACTCATTTGAGAAAGAAGGCCCATCCTTTAAGAGATGTTTAGATTAATATTGATTATACGCAGTCAGAGAAGTAATCTAAGGCTTTTTTATCTTTGCACTCTCCGTGGAAGATGAGCCTGACCCTGTAAGAAAACCAGAGATCAACATTCACTTTATGTATTCCACTGTTGTTTTTTGTTTGTGATTGTACTCATGAATTAAATTGATTTAAAATGAGCAGAATACCCAAAGCACATGTAACGTTAGAACTTACATTTTTTGTAAATCCTGGCTCATCGACAAACCTTCTTCACTGTAAAAAAATATCCAAAATGGAAATTCATTTCACATTTCATCAGTGATGGAATACAACAAAGTACTATTACTCTTTACTAAGTACAGGTACTCTTTTCAAATTACATTAAAGTGTAATTCCAGAGGTATAGGTAATCTTTAAATTAACTAAACTGTTGATGTAAAGGAGTGAGTTGGTCAGGATGATACTCATAACTGTCAAATTTAACAATAATTCAAAAGAAATAAGTAAATATTAAAATATTTATACCGAATCTTCGTGAGGATCTTTAATAGGCATGTAATGTCATCACTGATGTCGTCATCAAGCAATTCTGTAAAGAAATCATGAACAAATGTTTGCATTTTTATTGTTCTCCCTTCAATGGAGAGAGAGAATTTTAAGTTAACTGTGTGTTTTAGTTTGTCACAGCTTAATAGTGTATAGGTGATGATGATGGGAGGATATGAAACAAAAAACAAACGTTAAACTCACTGGTGCAGTCCATCTCACAGAAGTTTAATGAATTTGTGTGGTCATCCTTGCAGACCACCTTACTGCTGAGCTGGAAAAGACCATAAAGCGTCCAGTCCTCTTCCTCGTGTTGAGTGCTGCTGCGGGGAGGAGGGCGGCGGTTCACGGCAGTGGTGTCATTACCGGATGCAAACTCAACGAAACAAACAACTGAAAACAATGGAGAGAAGAAAGACACAAAGTGGCAATTCATCTCAGTACATGTCAGCCACACCTCCACAAGTTACTGGGGAGACTTCAACAGTGGCGATTCTAGACCACTTTTACTGAGGGGGCCAAACTGGGGCCAATTGTTTTGTCAGAGGGGAACATTAAACCCAGGTGAAAAATAGAAAAAGATGATCGCTTTGAAAAAATATATAAATATTATGCCAAATAATAGCACGCATTATTAAATACCATGATTTATATTTGTTTCACGAACAGTATTTAATACTAGATTGTGAGTCAAATACTGTGAATGTGTTTTGAGGGGGGCTCTTTCTTTTGGAGGGGTGGCCACAGGGGGGGCCAAGCTCAGTGTTACAGGGGCACTGGCCCCTGTTGGCCCCTGCCTAACCGCACATGGACTTCAAATCAATTTGCCAAATCATTATTCCAAGAATGAAATGATTTTTTTAAATGATCTCCTTCAGCTGAAAACTTCAGGAGAAGAGAAGCCTGCGCACTTCCTCAATGCAACAGGAAGAAGAATAATCACCAAGGTGATAGTTTTGGGGTATTTAGCATGTTAGACCACAACTGCTACAAATGTGCTTACCAGCCTATTGGTGTGCATATATATATACATATATATAAACCTTCTTCACTGTAAAAAAATATCCAAAATAGAGATTAATTTCACATTTCATCAGTGATGGAATACAACAAAGTACTATTACTCTTTACTACTCCTTCAAATTACATTAAAGTGTTATTCCAGAGAGAGAGAGAGAGAGAGAGAGAGAGAGAGAGAGAGAGAGAGAGAGAGAGAGAGAGAGAGAGATATATATATATATATATATATATATATATATATATATATATATATATATATATATGTGATGCACACCAATAAGCACATATGTCACAGTTGTGGTCTAACATGCTAAATACCCCAAACGTCTTTTTAAAAACATAATTAAGAAAAACAGAGAAATCACATCTGATGTGTTATCTTTTTTTCCTATGATTTCTGTTTTTTTTTTGATGAATGCCCAGAAAAAAAATCTAAGATGCACCACACAGTTCAAAGGAAATGAAAAAAGCTAAACACGTATGACTACTGTATGAGCAGAATAATTCTTTAAGAATATAAAGTTAAGGGAAAAGAGAGGGATATGTATACTTAGTTTTGTTTGTTGGGGGCGGGGGGGATTCTAAACAGCTTATTGTGTTTGACTAGAAGATGCGTTGGTTAAAATCAATTCAAATTTAAATGTTTCAGTGAATGAGCTTTAAACATTTTTAAGTCTTTAAACAAGGGTTAACTTTAAGGTCACAAAAATATAATGAATCAAATTAAAGCAATCAGCAAATGTGCAAATTCAGTATTAACAATTAAATAGTTAACATCAATTGTTGTAAATTTGCTTGTTTCTAAAATAGAACAGTAACCAGGACTTACTCTGAGCCACTTTGTTCTCCACTTGTGGTCCTCCCTTTCCAGTCATGTCCATTAGGGTACCAATCGGCATCATCAGCAGGTCTCTTAGATCACATTTTGACACTAGTTTTCCTTCAGCTAGACTGAAGCTCAACAGAAACACCAAAAGCCCCCTCATCCTTGCTCTGACTGTAAAATCATATATGACATGATACATATAGTGTCTACAAAGCCAGCAGTGACAAATCAGAGAGAACTACTACTCTTTGTTCGCTCAGATAAAGGCCACTCCCAAGGCTCTGGGAGAACACATTGTGTTGCCAAATCTCATGCTTTGCTTTGGGGAGGTTTTTGTGCTAAGGAGGTCAGGAGAGGAAAAATGATCCGTCTAAAAAACATCTTTTCTCTTTCACAGGCCACACCTTCCTCCTGCTGAAAAGACCAGGCCATGAGACACAAAACTGTAGAAGGTGAAACAGCGTCTCTTTCCCTGTCATCATAAGATGTGAATAATATCAGAGGATCCGGTGTCACCCCCTGCATGACAGCAGTGACTACACACTGTGTATTTGTGAGGGCGAGTATCCCCAGGATAACTGTAACATGAAAGCAAACAAAAGGAAGAACCAACAGCAAAAAAGCAGCAACAATGAAGGTGAGTAGATATTACTTCAGTTCTAGTGTATAATTCCTCCATGGAGGCTTTTAAGAAACTTTTAAAACTAAGACTGTTATGCTCTAAAACCCCATCTAATACACAACAATAGTTTCTTAGCCATTTTAGAAACAGTCACATAAATGTAAGCTAATACAACCTTTTACATTTAATTTCCTCTATTTTTTTTGTTTCAGTCACACAGACCATACATAAAGAGCTTAAAGACTGCATCAATTGCACACAAAAAAGCAAAGAAAGAAACTGATGAACAAAACTTTCTTACTATGAACTCAAAAAATGATGTGGGACAGTATGAAGGCAATCACTAATATGGCACCTGCAAACAAAATGTAAGCACTTTTGATGACTTGCAAAAAGCCAATGAATTAAATTATTTTTACTTAGGATTTAAAAAATAAAGACTTTTCCTCTGAACTCAAAGCTGTTCAAGATAATGTGTCTATTACTGAGGATGCAAGATTGGTCATTGATTGTTGCAAGGTTCAATCACTTTTCAGGCACACATACACAAAATCTCCCATTTCTTAATGAGATATACTGAAGAGCTGACGTCAGCATTTAGCCCTATTTTCCAAAAAGCTGTGGACTTCTGTACAATACCTACCCCCTGGGAAAAGTCAATTATTACACCTGTCTGTAAAAAAAAAACCTTGTCCAACGTCAAACGATGATTTTAGGCCTGTTGCCCTAACATCCATACTCATGAAATGTTTTGAGATAATCATGGTCTCCTGGCTCGAAACAGAAGCAGACTCACTTTTAAAACCCTTTCAGTTCACAGTTTGCTTACACACAGGTCCTTTGCACAGATGCTGCTATTAACAACGTCAGGATTATGCATGCATACCTTTTTAAAAATCCATTTTAGCTTAGCTTTGATTACACTACAACTCCACTTGTTAAAGCAGAATTGGAATCAGGCGAGTGTTAACCCTTTTATTTTACAATTGTGTTTTTCTTTTTTAACTTATCTAACACAGCATGTCAGAGTGAATAAAGCCCTTTCAGTGCCCAGACGTATCAGTGCTGTTGCTCCTCAGGGTTGTGTCAGCTCTCCGGTTCTCTTCACTCTGTACACTAATGAATGCACCAGAATCTATCCAGATAGTTACAGAGGCAGCAGTTCTTCTGTTTGTCATGCTGAGGTAGAGAGATTTGTGCACTAGTGTGATCGTAACTACCTTGTTTTTAATATAAAAAAACTGAGGAGATGGTGTTTGACTGGGTGATGATTCACCTGTGGTCATCCACAATGAACCCATCACACAGTTGTGCTTATACAAGGTGCACATTGACAACCCACTCAGATGGAAGACCAATATTGAGAGTCTCTGCTCTAGACTGCAACAGAGCCTGTACTTCTTACGCAGACTGAGTGTGATGGCTTCAAACAAAATCAATTAACAAAAGCTAAAACCAAAATAAGACAGAAAAAACAATAATATAAACAAATAATTCTAAATTCATTAATGTTTGGCTCTTTTCTAGTTTTTAACTGTAAATAATTCATATGGCCCTTTGGCCACAACACTGAGAGTCTATGGAGGTCAGCAGAAAATCACTGCTGTTTTTAAAATAATTATTAAATACGGGATAACAGCCTTGTACGGTCACTTTTCTGTTCAGTTGAAATTACAGATAATACACCTTGTGTAGACTGCTTTGAAAATCATGGATGTTAAGATAACACCCATCCCTCCAAACACACATATGAGCAGTCTGTTGTCAGACAGGTGCAGGAAATTTAGTAATATTTCAAAACTAATGTATTAGATGTAAGAAGGAATACATTATACAGCTGAAACAACAGCTTTTTGGAAACCATGTCTTGTTTTTTATAGGCAAGCTCCTGCACACTAAATTAAATAACACTAAAACTGAGATAGTAATGTTTAAAATATATGGTATCTAAAAGTACCAAAGTATCCAACATTTTGACAACCTTACATCTTAATACCCAGCGAATGTTTGCCCATTACTTTTCACCAGATAGAAAAATCTCAGCAAGTACTGAAAGTAGATATCAGCATTAATGATCTCCATCATCTGAATCTCATGAGTCAGGGCTTTTTAAATCATTTTAACTTTCTGAATTTCCACCCAAAGCCACAAAATGTTGGTGAGAAAAGTTTTCTCTGATCTACCTCTAAGATAGTGTGACAACAATTCAGTGCAAACACTGATGAGCTGATGAATGTAAGTACACAAAGGAAAACCTAAAACAAAGGTAAAATTTAGTTATAAATTATCTGCGGACTACTTGAATGTGAAAAGAACTTGAGGGCTTCAGCCAGCTAAGAAACTTGTCTGTGAAAAAATGACTCATAGAACTTGTTCTTTCAATTGTCTGTTCAAAATTGTCTTGCAGATTGGTATAGGGAAGCTGTGTGCGTCGGTTAGCAGTTGTTGGCCATTGTTCTACTTACTTTTACTCTGCACGGTTGAATATGATGTGAGCTTGGGCATTTGAATCATTCCTAAAGTAGGCTACTTCACGTTCATTTTTCAGACCTTGTTAAAAATGTTTGGTCAAGAACCGGGGTGAAGATAGTTTCATATATGACATTCGCCTGCCTTGAAAATTGCATATTTAAAGCGACAGGCCCTTGATAATGGTATTAAGGCATTTTTTAATGGCCTTCTTCACAAACCATGAGCTGTGAAAGTTGTGAGAGGATGTCCAGGACACATGTGAGGTGATTTGATGTCAATAAATTCAAAAATGAGAAAGCTATTGAAATTCCAACCTTGAAGATTGCATATTTAAGGCGATAATGTCTTGATAATAGTATTAAGGCATTTGAAAATGGCCTGCTTCACAAACTATGATCTGTGAAAGTTTTGAGAGGATGTTTGGGACAGATCTTCACCCCGGTGTGTTAAGATTCCTCTTATCTGGGGAATTGTAGAATCCAAAGTGTTAAAATAAAGACGGTATGGGCTGAATGTCTAACTGCTCCATAGACAGTACAGGCTGCTAGTAAGTCTGACACAGACATTCATTTACAAATGCTGAGAGCAAGCTAATGGTAGATGTTTGTACCAAAGACGGTGGAAAAATTGCACGAAAGACAGTTAGTTTGCTTTGCTTAAACTCAAACTGTATGGGATTTAAAGACAGGCCAATACTGATTGTACTCATTAAAAGTAAATTCGATAAATAATCAGATCAGAAACCATTTATCTATAACAAACATCAAACATATTTAATATAGGCTGGTAAAACACCTTTATTCAAAGATTAAAAATAGCAGAAAATACAGAAATCATTATTTCTTTTCATCACCAGATAATCACAGATAGGCCTAAGTGGAAAAAAAATCATGAAAATATTTGGATTCTTTCAATTCACTGTAAATTAAATATTGTATGTGCAAATTCAGGATCATACTTCTACAAAGTGCCTTCATAAAGAAAAGGAAAATGTTCCACAGTGTTTGAGAGTTATGTGGTGTCCTCCAGGGGAAAAAATCATGAAGAAGTGTTCTGCTCATCAACAGCCCTTGAAGTAGTCCTTGGGGTCAGAACACTCACTGGAGCTGTCGTAAAAGAATTGCCTGTTTTCATGCCAAAAAGAAAGAGCATATTTAATTAGAAAAGCACTTACCAGTTTGTCAGTAAGTAATTAGCACTTTGTTCACATTGACTTGCATATTAATATATTTGTTTTCATAATTAAGGAATACACACTAGAACCCAACATGGCCCCTAAGGGTCCTGAGTCTGGAGAGCAGGCCTTTAGTTAATGATCTTCACTGTGACTTTACTTAACTAGCATTAAACATTACAGGAACTGAAAGAGAAAGGCAAAGTTTGAGTACTTAAACTGCATTGCATTATACTGAGTGATCCTTCCATTAATAGGCCTACCCTCATTAACAACTGGGGTTGACAATTAATTTAATATAGGCTGTACCACCGCCTTTATCCCTTCTACACACCACATATTTCATCAAAAAAGTGTCTTTACAAAGGAAAAAAAATACATTTTTCTTCATAGATACACTAATACCAGAAAACTAAAGAACAAATAAAAAAGTTCATTTTATAAGACCACTTTAGCTTTTTAATTATGTTACTGGAGATGGCTGTTTTTCTGTATTACAAAGTGTCAAACATTTAAAAACACCTAATAAGGCTACACCTAAATGTATATATACCCTCACACATTCTCTACAGGTGAGTATCAAAGGAGGTGGGTCTAAGGGTATTGGGCCCGGATCCCAGTACAGAGCCAGTACGAGTTGTCCCAGCACAATTCTGCCACAGCAACACCAAATCATGTTAACATGAATATGAGTGTTGACACACACAAAAAGGAACGCTTAAGTTACTACAAACAAAGAGCTATTTCCAGTTTTTCAGAGAATTATTATGTTTTCTAATTTGCTCCAGCCCAGCCCTCCTTTCTATAACTTTTAAGCTTAGCTAGGAGATGAAGTAGACGAAATATCACTTTAACTATGGTGTTCAGTAACTTACCTCCAGGATTCAGTCTTCACAAAGCAATCAATGTCATCCGTTATGTCATCATCAGCAAAGGCTAAAGCGAAAAAGAGCTACAGTTATATATGCGAAGTATTTTTTTTTTTTTTAAACAGAATATAAGCTTAAAAGTAATAGTGCTTAAAATGAGTCTGGCTTTAATATTTTCTCTGGAAGAATCATGTCAAACACTTACCATTGCAGGATGTATTGCACTCGTTTACGGACAAGCGATAGTCAGAATTGCAGTGATATCCATCAGACAGCTGGAAGACCCCGTAATTACCTAGGGACCATAGCTTCGTCATTTTGTGGATCCTGAAGCCTCCATCCTCACTTTTCCCACTTTCCTCAGGGTCCAACATATCACCAAATGCTTCATTGCTGTCATCATCCTCTTCGTCAATCCTGTTTTCAGCCTTCATTATTAGTTCCTCATCAAAATTGGTCTCTAAAGTGTTTACCATCTCATACAGGTCCATTGTCAAGTCGTATTCCTTACAATTGCCAGCCTCACGCTTCCTTCTTTTCTTGCCAGCTTCAAGAGTTGTTTGGATGGGTTGACTGGTTGTTTCTTGTATTTCTTCACTGGACATTTCTTCAGTGGTTGTTGTTTTGGTGGTCATTGCTTCTGTAGTTTCCATTGTTGGTGTCGTAGTGGTTGTTTCTTGCAAATCATCAGTGATCTTTTTTTCACTGGACATTTCTTCAGTGGTTGTTGTTTTGGTGGTCATTGCTTCTGTAGTTTCCATTGTTGGTGTCGTAGTGGTTGTTTCTTGCAAATCATCAGTGATCATTTCTTCACTGGACATTTCGCCAGTGGTTGTTTCTTGCAAATCATCAGTGATCATTTCTTCACTGGACATTTCTCCAGTGGTTGTTTCTTGCAAATCATCAGTGATCACTTCTTCACTGAACATTTCTCCAGTGGTTGTTTCTTGCAAATCATCAGTGATCACTTCTTCACTGGACATTTCTTCAGTGGTTGTTTCTTGCAAATCATCAGTGATCACTTCTTCACTGAACATTTCTTCACTGGTTGTCTCTCGTTGACCAAACACTTCTACCTTGCTGGTGTTTAGATGGTACCTCCTATTCAATTCACAGATCACTGCAGAAAGTGAGGCATGACAGAAAAGAATATGAACATAAACAGGATGAAAATATGTAAACCTTTCTTCTCTGATCATCCATACATAATGTGTCTACCCACAACTCCAACAGTGGTTTATATTCTATTTTGGAGTGTTTGTACAACCCAGTTTCCCCAAAAATTGGAGCATTGTTTGAAATTAAAAAAATGTAAGGACTTGAAAAACTAAACCCCATATTTGATAGAAAATAGAACAAAGACATGGCAAATGTTGAAACTGAGAAATGTAATTGTTTTTGAAAATGTTATGCCCATTTCAATTTGTTGTTGGCAGCATGTTTCAAAGAAGTTGGGTCAGTGGCAACAAAAGCCTGAAAAAAGACAGAAAGTTGGGAAATGTTTAAACACCTGATAACAGGTTAGTAACACGATTGGGTATAAAGATAATAAACAACTTATTTTTCAGGGAAGGCTACACTTATTTGAGCAGGACAATGCCAAACCACATTTTGGATGTATTACAATAGCATTGCATGGTTCTTAAAGAGTCCTGGTAATAAACCGGGGTTCCTGCATTCCCAGTTTGTCAACCAATGAAAATGTTTGGAGCATACGACAAACGAGACCCTGAACTGTTGAACAGCTAAAATCCTACATGAAGCAAGAATAATAAAACATTCCACTTTTCAAAATGACATGAACTGGTGTCCTTCTTTCTCAAAATGCTATCAGCGTGTCACTGAGGGAGTGATAAGCATGACTCTGTCCCGTCTTATTGAAACATGATGCTGGGATCAAATTCAAAAGGGCATGTGATTTTCCAAAACAATGACATTACTCAGTTTCAACATTTGATATGTTGTCTTCGTGCTATTTGCAATCCAATATGCAACATAAGAGATGAACCACATTATTTAACTATTTGTCTTCTAGACTTGGAATAACAATTTATTCTACTTGATCCACTCGTTGTCTCACTCATTATAAGTCTGCATTATGGTGACTTTACAACACTACACGTGCTGCTCTAAAATACAGTAGACAACTTTGATTTATTTATGTTGAACACACATGATGCCACTGTAAGGCAAACATCATTTAAAGTGGCATATATTATGGTTGCAAAATAAACATTTTGATAACAAACAGGATTGCACATGCCTTGGCATGAGCACGGCACGGAGCAGTCACACTGGCCAAACTAACTGGACTTTAGGGTTGAAGCGTGCTTGGGCATGGTACGGATTGCCAGTGTGACCGCGCCCTTATAAGACATTTCACATGCATCTGTTCTATTATTTGGCTTAGTGGTAGCTTGTCTCTATCTCGTCATGTTTTTTGTCTTTATATTACTCATTTCATATTGCTTTTCTTGGCTTTTGTTAATTTAATTTCACTTTCATTAATTATCCAATTATCAATGACAAAAGTCTCTTCTCTGGCAGTTTTTGTTTTCTATTGACAAAAGCAAGATACAATAAGAAACATCGAATGCTACATTCATTTAAAAAGTTAAAAAGTGCCATTAATGTTTTTGGATAGGAAAAAATCTTATTTGACAGATTTTTGTCTGCAACTTTGACACTAAATTTAAATTTTACTTTTTGCTTGGTTACATATGTTTTGTGTGTTTTATATGTCAATGTAAAATGTTTTTTGACTCAGAAGTCATTTCATTTTTTTTTCTTTTTACATTTTTACAAACTGTCCTTTAAAAGGTACTGGCTCTGGAGCCCCTGAATACCCCCAAACCTCTTTGCCCTCACCTGGTAGGCTATTGAGTGATCCATCCATGTGCTCAATAAATGAACTTAACTGTGTGATGTTGTTTTTGTTGTTGATCTATCTGATGATCTTTGTTTTTCATGTTGGCAAAAAAAACTTGTGAACCTCACCTATTGCCAGAATGTGTTCCTTGTGCTGGTTTGGGAAACATTTGGGCAGGATGTTCGACTTCCATAGCTTTTCTTTCAGCTCACATTTGGAGACGATCCGGCCTTCAGACATGCTGGGAACCAGAACCACCATGGTCATCACAACCAGCAGACCCAGCTTCATTATAACAGCTGCAGTGTGGAAAAGGGGGAAACAAAAATCATCATTTCAGGTAGGGGTGGACATACATATGCAAATATTCAAAGACTTTTTGGGGGCATTTTGCTTTTATTGATTGGACAGCAGATGTGTTTTCCAGCCTATGCCTCTGTAATTCATGTCTAACCAACTGTCTCCTCCCCATATTTCCCAACTTCTGCTGTCTATCCAATCAAGGCACAATGGGGAAGAGACAGTTGGGTAGACGCATCACAGGGGCACAGGCCTAAAGATAAATGTATCCAGAAATATATCTATATGGGGAAATGCTCTAACAACTGCCATAAGTTAAACCGGTGCCCCAAATGCAAATTGTTTTTGTTCATTTGAATACATTTTTACTAAGTATCTTAGTTTGAACTGAGCTTGTGTTCAGTTTAGTGAACAGCGCACTCTAGTGGTAGAAATGCCGAACAACTCTTTGCTATCGCTCTAACTAAAAACAAGCAAACTCAGAACAAAAGATTGAGTGTTGTTCTTAGAGAATTAATCTTTGTAAAATGTGCTGCAAAACAATTTGTAATCTGAAGCATGATTCATCTTCAATAGAAGATGATACTGAATATCCTTTTCAAACAATTTAAATATATCTGATATTTACTAACTTTCTTAGTTTGTTTTTGTTTACTTGTCAACAGACATTTTTCTTTTTAAGTGTTTTATATTTTATCATTGCTTTCTTTCAATACAGAGACATTATTTTTTGTTCCTGTTCTGTAAAAAAAAAGGGTGGTAACACTTGTAACTTTGTGCTGTGCTCATATTATTTTTTTTATCCCCAATAAAAAAAAAGTTAATTGATTGTTGAAGTTGACACAACCCGATATCAAACTTGCACATTTTCATCAATAAGACATCATTTGCCTGACAGAAATACACAAATAGTGCCCAAAGTTCCATGTTTTAAAAATGTGTTTGATCTTTGGATACTTTTTTTGTTTTTGTCTTTATAAAAAAAAATCACCTTTTGTTTTTGATTACATTTTTTTTTTTTTAAATATTTTACTGATCCAAATATTGAAATGAAACAACTTTGATATCATTAAAATAAATAAACAATCAAGAAGGAAGGACTTGTCTTACTCACTGTTTTTCACCTCCAGACTCTCTTTTAGGTTGCTGATGAATGTTTCCCTCTGTGTTGGCTCTCAGAAATATCTTCAGAGTTTATGCAGATTACAGTACCTCCTCCATGTAAAATAACCTGTTAGACAAGCTGATATGGTTTTGCAGCCATTTCCCCAAAGGAACAAGGAAATTTTCAGTCACAACTAAACACAAACATTGTTATTGTGAAGCGCATGAATTACATTCCTACAACTCCACAATGACATAGCAATTGTTCAACCAATGTCTGAGCATGTCAATTATAGCTTTCATAAAAAATGACAGCAGATGTCACAAGGGCACCTGGGGCAAGGTGTTGAGTTTACAGGGGGAAAGTCCAAAACAAATGCCGTGATGTTAACCCACTGCATGAAAATGCAATGAAAATTAAAAGTGCCATGCGCCATGAAAAGCTGAAACAACATCTTTATTTTTCCTTATGTTGCTCGGAAAAAAATTGTTAAGGCTTTTGAAAGTAAGCTGCCCCTGACTGCCCACATATACATGTCTGGTTTGAAGTCTTCTTCAATCCAGCATGTTCATTTTGAACATGTTGGCTTTTAGGATGATATGGACGATAAAGCAGCATTATGCTATAGGACTTGGCTGTCATTGCCAAGCAACCTATCTATCAGAATAAAGATGATAGGCTACAAAGCAAATCAAACCTGAGGCCAAAATATGGTCACCCCTTTTTCTTTTTCTAGACTTTATTGAGGGCTTTTATGCCTTTATTTATATAAGACTTTGATAAGAAACCTGGGAGATGGTGGGGAGAGTGGGGATAAGGAGTCGAGGGTCAGAGTTGAACCTGAGCTGCCTGCTTGTAGAACGATCGCCTCCTTACATAAGTCGAGTGAACAAACCGCTAGGCCAGCTAGCGCCCAAAATGGTGACTTGAGGCTTTACAAAACAGGATGGTGGCATCCAAAATGTCTAACTCAGGAAAGTTGATGACGGTGGGTGTCTTGTGTGCTTTTCTTCTATAGTGTCTGTGGATCTGTTAAAATAAAATAAAAACCTGAACTCATCCTCAACAAACTCCTAAACAAAACTGTTCCTACTTCCTAGCAAGAGAAGTGTACCAAAACATTCTGCATGGCAGAAAATTCTAAGGCTAACCAGTAAATCAGGATTATTTTTGCTCTGTCACTTTCAGTAAACGGGCATTAACAAGGAACAGTCTTTCTTTAAATGTTTCCAGGAAGTCTGAATGAAAATAACCTTGATAAAAAGATTCACAAACCTGTTTAGCTTTTACAGAAAGAATGCTTAAGTAAATCTTCCAGAGGCGTCTTCAGGCATTTTGTTCATCTTTCATTAGAGGAGGACAAGGAGGAAGGAAGGTTTACATGTGTTTCAGACTTGTTCACTTTTTGAAAGTCAAAATATATGAATCTGCTTTTAATTGTTGAACCTGAAGTCTTTTTCTTTGCTATATTTGCGTTGTCTTTTTTGCTTTATATTAATAAAGTTTTTCATGGACATTGAAATGGCCCAGATGATGATCGCATAATTAAAGTATCCTTCTTATCATTCACATTATGTCTGAGACATAGTCAACATTTGTCCTTCTCTGTTTCCTGTAATGCATGTATTCCCTGCAACAGCGATCATTCAGGCTGTCAGACAGATTAGCTTCCTGATTCTTTCTCTTTGTCAGTTTAACGCATTAAAAGAAAGTGTGAGCCTCAAACAAGACATCATTGCTCAAATATTTTGGTGTCACTGCTGAATAGTTTCTGTAAATACACACCCTCCTGTTTCAAACACTCTGCCGGGAAACTCTCACAGGTGTTTTCATATTTCAACCTGAAAAAGCCCCTGGAGCGTCAGGAGGCGGGGCTTAACTGATTTGTTATCTGTACAGAATGGCAAGTGTAAAATACAGTTCAATGATTATGTATTACTTTCTGAAATCCTGCTGATTTTCTCTTTTCATAATGTGAAATTTGGTTTTGTTTTTCAGACATTTTTAAACCTGAAAAAACTTTAAATTGCTGCTCAGTACAGATTAACAGTAACAACTGTATACAACTAATCTCTCTGTCTCTTTGGCTCACATGGTAAACATTCCTCTAAGTTACAAATGATTCAAATAATACACTCTACCCATTGTTTGTGTAGTTTATTATGCACATGTTTCCTTCAAACATTCTTAAAACAAATTACCAAAATCAATTTTCTCCCTCAACAGTATATAATACACAATACACAACCATGCTCATACTACATAACTCCTTTATTTCCATTTGTTTTTGACTGAATTACCTTTGCTTTTGCTTTTCTGTTTTTAACATTATTTCCTTGTTGCACAAAAACCTGAAGACTATTTCCTTGTACGTGTAGGCCTAGGCTGCAATAAACCAGTTTCTGGTTCTGGTTGAATAACTTGTTTACTCAAGTATCATTCATGAGCAATCAAATAGTGTGGAGTTACTTTCAATAAGGATCAATTCGATTTCTGGCTTGTGACAAGTCCAAACAGAATCATAGAACTCAGGCCCATCAAACCATCATACATACTGTAAATACATGGACTTTAATATGGTCCATTCAGACTGTTTCAGGCTGTCAAATTGTAACCTATGAATATGTTAATATCTGAAAAAATAAAATGTCACTTCATTGCACTAACAACAGTTGAGTAAGACAACGTTATCTTACTTTTTACCCTTATTTTGAATATCTAGAATGATTTCATACAGGTGATCATGGCTGATTTATGGTGGCTCTGAAGGTCAAAACATGACAACATTTCACAAGAATACAAAGTTTACAAAATGTGACTTTTAATAAAGACTGAAAATGTAGCCTCAGCGGCAGGAACAGAACAAAAAAGATCATTGTTATGTTTGAAATCACAAACATGAAGTGTTGTCTAACCTTTTCTGTGATCTGGGATGTTTTTGTGCTTTACCTTCACGGCAGCCTCACTGATAAAAAGTTTTCACAAACTGTCAAACATTTAACATGCAACAATTCTTATATCCTTGTTATATAACAACAACTAAAGTAACATGGGAAACTAATTCTGTTTCAAGTATGAATTGTAACTAAAAACATAAAAACATAACATAAAAACACATTAAAAGATCATTGAATAAACTATAAACATGTTTTATTTTTGTACCCCTCAAGGTTTAACTGTTTTTGAAACTGCAGCATGATGATGTCATGATGATGGCAGAGTGATGTCAGACAGTGAAGTTTTTTGTATTTGGTCTGACTCATCTTACACATGTTTAGTTATTAATATGTATGAAACACCACAGTGTGTCTACAGAGGCTTACATGTTGCTGAAGTCATGATTACAATTTCATATGATGGGATTTGTTTTAGCTTTTGTTTCTTTAAATGTTATTATTATTCTTGTTCGTCTTCTTGCTGTTCTTCTTTTTCCTCTTCATGTTCTCCTTCTTCTTTTACGAGTGAATATACAAATACATCTCATCTCAGTTAGTCTGAACTCTTTTGTAGTGAAAGTGTTCTTGAAAATAAGAGATTGAAAATAATCTTTAAACACACTTCACTTTTACTCAGGATGACTTTAAATTAAGTCAAAGCCGATATCACAACACATGTTGACCATGTATTTTACCATGTTATGTACAAAAGCTGCTGTTGCATCATTTAGCCATTAGGGTGCACTGTTAGCAAACAAAAAATTGAAGCATTAGTTTGAATAAAGAGAGATAGATATATTGTAATATCTTAGTTCTTGATCTTGTACATGAATATGGACTGTTTTATTATGTCCTAGAATATAAGAAATATAAACAGATGTGGGGAAACTGTTAAAAAAAACAATTTTGTGAACAACTTTTCTCTCTTCTGGCTCCATAATATAACTGAAAGATAAAATGACCCAACCATTAAATTCACTATGATAGGTATCAAAACTTCATCATCCAGAGTAAGGGTCAAATAAACTCCTGTCAGATACCGCACATCCAAATACAAGAAGCATGTTTTCAACCAGATGACAAAAATCATGTTTGCCTTGGCGTCCCTTAAATTTTGAAATTAACAGATCGGGTAAAACTCTTATTCCAAAAAATATACAGAATATATGTGAAACGGATTAACAGTTTTTGAAAGCAAAAGGCACACACAAAAATTACCTAAACAAAAACAAAAGATTAGGAGGTATAGGCATATTCAGAATTGTATATTTCAGCAATAACATTTAAGAAAGATTTTACAGGAATGTAATGTAGTTTAGAAGAACTGTCTATAAACTACGATGTCTTTGTTCACGTTGGGTGGGCAGTACTGTTACTAGTACTATTTATGTCTTAACTTAATAACCTTATTTGTTTTGCAGATTCAGATTTGAAATACAAAGTATGAACAACAAATAAACTACTTTATTATTCTAGATTAAAAACAAACTATATCTCTCCCAAGTATACCAGGTGATTAAAACGAGCCCAACCTTCACAGTCTGCATCATTAAAGTGACAAACACATTCATGTCTGAACAAATATTATCTACTTTCATTTTTTTTTCATATTAGCCATTTTTAAAAGATGACTTTTTTTTACTTTAACTATTTAACATATGTCTTGATTTAATGTTACTGAGTTGTTTTACACAGTATTGCTACTTAACATCTCAAAGGACGTTTGTAATTTATTCTATATTGCCATTTAGAAATATTCACTGAATGGTTCTGTGTTCGACTACTCAGGATAGAGAGGAGACTGCAGACTGAACTGCTCCTGGTAAGTTGTCTGAGGGGGGCGCTGTGCCACGACTGCAGGACTCTGATGGAGGAGGGTCAGGGTTCTCAGGGTTAGGAGGTCAAAACTCTGCTGGTAGTTTTCACATGGGGGGTTTGAAGGCTGAAGAGACCTGTGGAGGGTCTGAGACCTCCTGAGAGGATCAGAACTGCAACATGAGGAAAGACAGGGCAGAGTTATACATTTTGGATTATGTCACTGATGTTGAGAATACATGTTGAAATTTATACACTTCTTTCTTTTCAAGAGGTCCAGAGAATTATATGTTGATGAAAATGGGGAAATAAATCTTCCTCTATGAACCCTGTGCATTGCCTCAGTGCACTGCCTGTCAGCACCCTACATCCCATCGGACTTGAAGCGTTTTTTTGGTACTTAGTCACAGTGTTCCTGTCAGATCTTTATTTGA